AGAGAGTCTCACAGCAACAGTGAGCTCACTTTGAGAGATTAACCAAAATTAGACACCAAGTGGAATTCACAAAACGAGTGGAGCATTTTTTAAAGTTTTGCTGCCTTTTTTTCATCTTTATTTCTGTTTTAAGAATCCAAAAGGTTTTTTATTTTTTTATTTTGGAACATCTGTAATCCATTTGTGGCTGAGAGAGCACTGTCGCCAGTTCTGCCAAAAGGTTTTCATACTTCTTAAAAAAAATCTTCCAGTTTGTGATTAGTGTTGGCTCCGGACGATATCTGTTTTTAGTCCAACAAAGCTTTTTCTGGAGGAATGAAAAAAACATGTGACCTTCACTGGATTAGACACTGAGCTGTCACACTGAGTATGGTTTACATTTACTCACTCACGCTGTTGGCTTCTTTGTATCTTTCTTTCTGACGGGCAAACAATGGTCGCTGTTGTTTTGTGATAAATACCTAATTACTATAACGGGTCGTTGGCACGAGGATTTGCATTTTTTTAACTCAAAGATAAGCTGCCAAAATCTGTTAAAGCTCCTCAAAAAAAAAAAAAAACATTTTTAATCATGTTTCTGCTGCTCGCAGGAGTTTCTCTAACAGGTAATGGACTCTGTGATGCTTTGTTGTTTGTCCTCTGGAGGGCRAGCCTGGGATTGGGCAGAATGTTTTGTTAGTACAGGGAGAATGCTACTACTACATCCAATGTTAGYTTAATAGCGGTCTAATTTTTTGCACTATAGCTTTGTTTATATTTTCTAACTTCAGTTGACTGTAGTGGCCATTTTGGRTTTCATGAARTCATCCAGTGGTTCATGASATWTTTTGCTAGACAGACAGAGTTGACTCCAATACTTAGTGTCAACATTTTAAAAAAAGATTTTACTGTTACTGCTCTGATTACATTTTGGGTCTCAGTCTCAACAACTACCACTCTAAATTTTAGGTCAGTATATGTTAAATTGGTGGACTTATAGCCATTATTGAGTTTCTTAAGTGTGGTTGCCTCTGGAGGTCATCTTGAATCAGGTTGAGTACAAAAGGTAATCAGTTGTATGTAAACATTCGATGATTACTTTCTGTAAGTTTCATTGGAAATCATCCAGTGGTTCACAAGATATTTTACTAACAGACCAATAGAGTTGTCTTCAGTACAAAGTGGCAACATTTATTTATTTATTTCACAATCTATTGCTGCCCAAATTTTGTGTTGCGTCTCAGTCTTGTCTACAATCACAATAAATTTCACATCAGTATCTGTAAAACGGACTGACTTATAGCCATTATTGAGTTTCTTAAGTTCAGTTAGCTGTGTTGATCATTTTAAATCAGGTTGACTTCAAAATGTAATCAGTTGTACATAAATATCCACTGATTACTTTCTGTA